CCACCGCGCGCTCAGGCCCGTAAATTGGTTTATCATGGAGATGGATCACCCTCTCTCTCCCTCCGCCCCGCCTCGCCCCGCCCCGCGCGCGCGCCCTGGCCACGGCCCTGGCCGCCCTGCGCCTCGTGGAATTGAGTGGGAATATTACTCGCGATCGGTCCCCTCGCCACGGTCGCTGCTGCACGCTGTGACGCGGCCGACCTGAGCGCGCGCCTGTCTGCTTGTCTGCGTGTCTGTCTGTGTGTCTGTGTGTCTGTGTGTGTCCGGCCGGAAGGAGCCGCGTAATTGGACGAGCTGCCAGCCGATGAATAAGTAGGTCCGGGCCGTGCAATGAGCATGGGCCCTGCTGGCCGAAAGTGAAAAGGAGTGGCCGCCGCCCCGGTGCAGGAGAGGGTGTCCGCCGCCCCGCCCATCTGTCTTCGCCCGGCGGCGGCGGCGCGGTCTGCTGGTCTGGGTCGCGATGACACGCTGCTTTTCACTCTCGTCATCTTATTCCCACCGCCATGAAATATGAAATGCCCTCTCGGCTGCGCCGGCCCGGTCCTGCAGCCGGCAGCCGGCCCGGGCCGGCCACAAAGCCAACCCCCAGAGTGGGGCCGTGTATTCCGGGCACGTCCGCCCCGCCGCGCGAGGCACCGCGCCACCCCGCCGCGGGCCCGGGGATGGGGAGGAAGAGGAGGGCGCTGCGCTTTCGCCTGGAGACACGCCACCCACGTGACGCCGCCCCTGCCCCGCTCCCCGCCTAATCACTCATCACGGGGGCCTCCATGTGCTCGGACCGGACGGACGCGCCGGAGGAGGACCTCCCTGCCCGCCCGCCCCGCCCGTCTGCAAGCCGATCAGATGGGGCCGTGTGCTGCTCTGGGCTCGGTGCAAGAAGATCCACATGGGAATACTGTACGGCCCCGGCCCCGGCTTGGGACCTACCTCACAATATTGACTTACCCGCTCCGGCCCGCCACGCCCTGCCTCGCCAACGGAGGACCCAAAGTGGCCCGGAGGTCCGGAGCAGTGCTGGCAGCCATTCACTCGTTATTATACCCTTTGTGCCCCATATCGATATTTTATCATCAACGTCGTTATTCAAACAGCGGGGTTGGCCACCTGTATGACCCGCCGCACTCCCGCCCCCACCCAC